TGAATCTGGGGGATGTTGGCTCAGTAACAATAACTGGTTATCTTGAATTTTAACTACCCCTCCCACACACTCCAGGATATATCCTCTGATCCTGACTGCTAGTCCTGGGGCCTGGATCTTACTATCCTCAAGAGTTCCCGAAAAGGCAGCCCCAGACAGGCTGCCAGTGGTGCTCTTTTCCACCAGGGGCCGCTGTTGCACAGTACATGGCGTCCCATAGAGCCCCTCTGTTAACCAACCGGATTGCGTGCAGCTCCAAACTTCAAACTCTGGTTGGGATTGGTGGACAGGGCTTGCGCAGCCCTGTCAGTGACCTAAACAGTACTAGTCCATGATCTCAGGGAGAACCCTGGTGAAGAGAGCAAAGGGGAGGTGCAGGGTGCCTGATTTTGCCTTTTCAAGACTTAATCCCCTCCAGCCCTGCCCAGAGGCTGACAGACTGGAAACTGCTCCTTAGAAGGCTGGGGAAGGTGACATTGCCACACTTCCCTCCTCTGCCCATTAGTCACAGAGCTGACTTGGGTCCCTGGAGCTCTCTATTCAGCCTGGGCCTATTCCATGCCCAGTTGAAAGTCAATGTCAGGTGGGCACAGAGTGGAGGCAGCCCATAACCTAGGTGGGCTGAGCCCCAGAGAGGTAAGGGGAGCATCCAGGACCTCCAGTGCACTTCCTGTCTCCTTACAAAGAGCTACTCCTAGGGAAAGAAGGGCTTCAAGACCAATCAAACAAAATTCTGGTATCAACAGCCCTGCTCTTCCCCACATGGCCTCACTTAAACTTCCAAAGTGACTCTGGCCACACAAAGCCACTGCCTTGGCGGGAGGGCTGCACACTGGCCACTTTGGGCTCAAGGAGGAGAGAGGGAAACCTATGAATGGGAGAGAAAGATGGAGGGCTCTCAGCCCTTACAGTCTTTGTTTTAGCCTCAGCTTGCACTTCTGTAAAATGGGATGGAGGTGGTTAGAACTCCCAGCCTCACTTAAAGAGGAAGTATGAGAATCAGAAAGAATGGGGGACAGTGGCTTTGTTTGTTGTGTTTTACAATAGGCTATTTCTGACCCACTACAATGGTACAGAGAGCAGACAGCCACTGCCACGGAGCCTCCCCATACCTCCTTATAGCCCACTCCCTCCTGCCCAGGGCCTCTGTCCAGACTTTGCTGGCTGCATCTCCCATCCTGCCGGGAGCACAGGAGTGAAGCATGGCAGAGTAATCAGCAGTTTCCCTTCCTTCCCCAACCCGCAGAGATTTTTCTACTTAGGCTTGAAATTGAGCCCTTCTGCTCTTCCCTTGCTCATCTTTAATTTCTTTATTGATCTTCATTAAACTCTCCCTCTGGCTCCAGGACAAAGTGAACTAACTCCTTATTTGGGAAAAAAAAAAAAAAAGAAAGAAAAATGGAGGGGTAGAAATAAAATGATGCCCTTCTGAAAAATGAGACTCTCTTGTCTAAGACTAGAAAAGCAATTTCTGGAACTGTCTAGAGAGTTGACAAAAGTTGGCTGAGCACTGGGCTTTGAATGCACCCCATCCCTTTCAGCCCCAGATCTGAATGTTTCTGTCCTGCATGGCCCAAGCTAGATACAAACAGGGTGTATCCTCCACACACCACTGGAAATCGATTATATTGTCACATTGCATCACCATATCAGCCCCACAAGGGAGGCGTCACTTTGGCACAGAAGAGGAAGCCAGTGGTCAGGGAGGAGAGACTAGATCCTTGGGACACTTTCAACCTCCCCAAACCCTGTAATCCTTGGCCAATCTATCTTCTAGCCAGTTCCTCAAGGAAGCCACTCTGACTTATCTACCTCAAAAAAGTTGGGTATGTCTCTTGGAGCTGTGTGGCTTTGATGGATAAGATTGGCTCACTCCATTCTTACCCCTGGGCACACACACACACCATACCCATTGTCTCCTAAAGGTGCTCCTGAGAACACTGCCAGCTCTCTGGGTTCCCCTCATCCACTGAGCATGGAGCCCTTTAAAGACTCAGAGTTCCATGGGTCAATTGGCCAGTCACAGGGTCCCTGGCCTCACCTAAGACAGCCTTTCCTCATTCCCCCATCTTCCTTCTGCACCTCTCTACTCCTGCAACCATCTCTGCACTGTCTCTTTGCTGTTCCTGAACCAGAAATCCTAGAAGAGCAGGAGCTTCCTTTGAGGCCACTGCCTGTATGTCTGGGGTCTCCATGTCTGGCTCCTTGGAGCAAGTATGGTTATCTTCTCCCCTGAGCCCAGCACAGGACTACAGAGTGAGGGGTGACTGTCTGTCGAGGTCAGGAAAAGCAGGGATGACTTCCAGAAGTATACTGATCCTGGGGACAATAACAGGGTGAACATTGTGGCTGGGATAAATTAGACCTCCACAGGGGCCCTGACCCCTGCTTCAGCCAATAGCTTGAGCCTGGTTCTCAGGAAGCTATCACCCTGTTGTCCCTCAGAAGGGCCAGTTCTTTCCAGGGTGGCACAGAGAAAGAGCAGGGGTTTGGAACGAGCCAGGTATGGGTTAGAGTACAGGCACCACACATTCATGACCTGAGGGAGAAATCTTTGAACCTCAGTTTCCTCATCTGTGAAATGGAAAAGTAAAGAGTCATGTTCTTGGCCTACCAGCTTCTCCACACTGTACATCATCATCTCTTCTTTTAGAACATCCCTCCCCACTACAGGCTAGACCGCTTCTTCCTACAGACAGTAACCTCCCAATGACCAGTCCTTTCCAGACCCAGCTCTTAGTATGCCTTGGCCACAATCATCATACCACCTATTCAGTCCCTCCATGTACTAAGCACCATACGTACACCCCAATTCCCCAATAGTCCCATGAGGTATATTTCACTGTGCTCACTTATCAGGAAAGTGTGTTGCTGAGAGGCTCAGGAAGTTGCCCAGGGTAATCTGTGAGTTTTCCAGGCTCACAGGTACAAAGGATAAAGTTTAGACCCAGGACTGCCTAGCTTTTCAAGTTCATAGCTCTGTGCTTCACTGGAGATGACTTCCCGATAAACGTGCTAGAAGAATGCATTTGTAGAGTAAGGCAGTGGTGGGGGAGAAGCGAGTGGATGACTGACAGCAAGATGGGATGGAAAAGTAGCAGTGGTGACTTCGGGTGACAAGCCGTGACTCTGCCAGTGTTTGTTCAGTCCGACTTGGAGGAGGAGAACCACCTCTATCCTCTTGGGGTAGGAGTGAAGCGGTCTGGGTGAAGCCACAGGGACTTTCTCAGTTGTCTCTGTGACACCAGCAAGGCAAGGAGACCAAGTGTCTGAATCCCACAGACAAGGCTCAAATTCTGCTCTAGTATGGATAATGGTGTAATTTTAGACACATCAACAAACTACCTAAGATTCTGGCTCCTTGTCTTTAAGATGGAGCTGTCTATAGTACTCAGCTCACAAGTCTCTGGTACGATACTGAAGGCATGCGTGTGCTGGACCAGCCCAGGACCCAGCACACAGCGAGATTTGGTCGCTGAGCATCTGCTCTCTTGCCTTCAGCAGGCTATGTCTGACACCCAGCCAGGCAGGTACTGGGAAAGAAGAGCTAAAGCAGTCTGACTTCTGAGCAGCATCAGCTGGGGCAATCAACAGCCTCCTGCTAGGGCGGCTGCGCTGGCTTTCAGCTCTAAGCAGGAAAGCACTGGTGAGCGTCTCCCTGTTCCTTCCCGCTATACTGCAAGCTCACTGAAGCCACAAAACTGCTTTGGGGTGTGAGATATTAGCCCCCGTAGGTCTTCCTCTTTTTCCCCTACAAAGCTGGCATGAAAGAGGACGAAAAACAAACTTCATTTGGCCATCTGGCCCCTATCCAGGAAAGCTTAATGGAGATGAAAGGGGATTATTTAGCACACGAAGCTAAACACACCCAACATATTTCCTTCATGGGTTCTGTCTGTTGTCCGTCATCTGTCTGTCTCATCACTCACAGGTCACCATACAAGTATGCAAGTGAACACATACATCCCACATTCAGACCCCAAACTGGGAAGGAGAAAAGTGATATTGGGTTTGATCTTGGCAGATCTGAGATTTGATTTGAGTCTATAACGGAGTTTCTAAAAATGATTGACATGTTGAACAGTAATTGATAGCACTATCCAATGAGCTGAGGCCCACATGGAACAACAACAGAAGGAGAAAGGTCTAGTTCTCTCTCTCTCTCTCTCTCTCTCTCTCTCTCTCTCTCTCTCTCTTTCTCTCTCTGCTTTATGACTGCTATAAGGTGAAAAGGTGCCAGCCTCCTCACCTGCACTCTCCCACTATGATACACTGCCTTGTCTCAGCCCAACACATTGAATTCAGCCAGTCTTGGACTGCAATCTCTCAATCTATGAGCCAAAATAAATCTTTCTTCCTTCAAGCTGGTTTTCTGAAGTATTTTGTCACAATTACAGAAAGCTGATTTGCACAGCACCCAATGACCCCCACACACACATTTGCTCCCTCTTCCCTCCCAAGGACCTGGAGCCTCTCCTCTGCCATCCTACTGTGAGAGGACCAATCACTCTCTTTTATTATTATTATTATTATTTATTTTATATGCATGAGTGTATTGTCTACATGTATGGAAGTGCACCCACGTCGTGCAGTGCCCATGGTGGTCAAAAGAAGGTATTGATTCCCCTGGAACTGGAGTTATAGATGGTTGTTAGCTGCCATATGGGTGCTGGGAATCAAACCCAGCTAGTGCTCTTAACTGCTGACCATCTCTCCAGCCCCAGAACCAACCACTCTAAACCACCACATCCCATCATCCTGCCTGCCAGGACCCTGATTACTGCACCCACTAGAGTCTCTCTGTCACCCTACCAATAGAGTTCCAAGTGTCCCTGTGTTCCTCTCCTCTTCACCTCTGCATTGAATCCCACAGTCAGTGTCCCCAACAATTCCATCTGAAAGGGATGTGTGAGAAAGGGATTAGGAGTACTTGTTCCATGAAGAGGCCCCCACCCCTACGTGGCTCAGAGGCTTCAGCCCAGCCAGCCAGCTGCCCTTACCTTCTCCAGCTGGTGGACACCCTCTTCCACACAGCAGATGGAGGCCAGTGTGCGGAGCGCCTGAGGGTACAAGCACCGGAAACTGTCCTGTCTGCAGACCTTGAAGAGCGCTACGACCCCACCCTCCTGTGAAGGAGAAGAAAATGGCACAAGATCTTACCACTGACTCTTCCACGGGCTGACTCGGTAATAACTGACAGTCCTCAATCAGCAGATATATTTGGGGGTACCCCTCACACACATCCACACACTGAAACAGTGAAGTTTTGGCTCCTAATTATTGTTCAAGCTGGAGGTGGGGTTTTGTCAAATGCTTCTGGGGCTTAGAGGACCAGGGGCCAGGGCAAACATTTTGGTAGAGTCAGTAATCAGCTGAGCTTCCTGACACTTGGCCACACCCTCTCAGTAGCCCCAGGAGGAACAGAACTGGGGTCACCAGAATGGACCCTGAAAGTTGGTAGAGGCAGGTAAAGGGACAGGAAATCTACAACCCAGTGCCAGTGCTCACCACCAATAATCACACAACTCAGATCCTTCCCATAGAAGGAAGATAGAAATTTGTATTTATGTCATTTATGCCCTCTCTATGATAGAAAAAAAAAACCTGAAAACTATATGCATAAAGTAATTCCCCCTAATCCACAACAGCCTTATTTTAATTCCTTTAATTGCTTTAGAGACAATCAAATCATTCAGCTTCGGAGGGAGCGTGTCCTTCTTGCGTAGGAACTGCTTACGGAAGCTTCTCTCTTGTTTTGTGGAAACTGTCCAGTAGAGTGTGCACCTTCAGCAGGAACTTGGGCATACAAAGTTCATCCTCTGGCTGCCTGTCAGCTGCTCAATTGCAGTCTGCAATCATCACTACATCCCCTGCCCGTGCCCCTGTGTGTGCTCCTTCCTCTGGGTGCAAAGTGAAGGTGCCTTAAGACCATACAAGGGATGCACCACAGTACCTAGCAGACTAATGAATCCAGAGCAAGAGAAGTTGGGCACCCTCATCTGGCTGGGCCTCCTTCCTTCCCTTTTCCGAGGACTGGAAGGTGCTTAGAGGTGATGATTTCATGAACAACTGCTCTGGGCCCTTATGCCAACCGTCTTTAACTTCATCACTCCTGGCTCTAACGACCCTGGCACCTGTTAGAACCAAACAAAATATTACAGGAGGTCGGCAAGCTCAGCAAAACACCATCCTGTTAGATTTTTGAGAACTCTGTGCACCAAAGGCGTACGAAGTGCCTACCAAGTGCCAAGCTCTGTTTCACATGCTGACAGGCTACTGAATGAGCATCCAGCAGAGGAAGCAAGGACCACTGTAGCCCAGCATGAATGAGCATCCAGCAGGGGAAGCAAGGACCACTGTAGCCCAGCATGAATGAGCATCCAGCAGAGGAAGCAAGGACCACTGTAGCCCAGCATGAATGAGCATCCAGCAGGGGAAGCAAGGACCACTGTAGCCCAGCATGGTTGCACCTAAATAACTCAACCCCACCTCTTCCTCCCTCCACTCCAAACATAGGTTTGTGGGCCCTTTATGCTCTAAGAGTTTTGCTACCAATCACTGAAGGGATCAAAATGGAAGGTATCCAACTGGGGAGGAGGAATTATTAATTTCTGATATTTTATTATAATCAGCTGAGATTCATTGCAAACTCTTATATCCCTACTTCCTCTTGGGTTTATTGATTTGGTGGGAAGGAGCTGGAAAATGCATTCATGCATTCAAAAAATAGTAGTAATTTATTATATGCCAGACATTGTTCAGGTCTCCATCCATACTGAAGTCATGGTCTGACAGGAAAGGCAGACAATCCTAAGAGCAGGTACAATGCTGAACAGGACCACAGTGAACTGAAGGTGGGGGGGCAGGGTTACTGGGGCACAGAGCAGGAACTCCTCAGTCTGGGAAGGGTTTGTAGAAGGGCTAGACGGATGTTATGTCTAGCTGATTTCAGATGTATGTCATTATTTAGTAAAAATATGGCTAGCCTTCACCAAGACGCCTGCCTTTATGATTCTGTGCTCGATAATCTTTTATCACTGCTTTCTGATCTTCTTCTCACAGGCTATCTGTGTGCTCCACATAAAGACCTTGCTTGGGGAGTCAGTAAAGCATCACGGTGCTACTCTAAATGAGAAGCAAACAAAACGAAAACGTGAAGTAACAGCAGTCGTATGCTCTCCTGCTGGCCATGAAGTCTCCTTCAAGATGTAAACACATACATATACACGGATGCATAGTCATAGGTGGGGATATTACTTTTTAATCATATAAATTGTATAAACTTTATTTCAATAGATGGCTGATTGGCAATTAAAAGTAGATCTTTACATTTGGATCAGACTATGAAGAGACAGTGGCAAAGACACCCGGGCTGAGCCCACTCCTACTATTTTGCCCAAAGGACCTGCTATCAAACTGCCTCTAAGTTTGCATCTCTTCATGCATAGATCATGTAGCTCTCAGTTGGAGTTTCTTTGTACTATGGACTGTGCTTGACACAGAAACTCACAACTTCCCAAAGTGCAGTGAAGTTTCAAAGTGACTGTGGAGTGCTCAGCTACAAACTGGACAAGCTATATCACACCTCGGCCCCCAGGTTCAGGGACCACTGTGGAAGAGGAGGCAGAGAGACTGTAAGAGCCAGAGGCTGGGGAGGACTGGAGCAACCCCACAGTGTCTTGGGGGGAAGACAGGACCGCTGTACTAATGAACTCATAGCAGCTGTGGTTGTCTGAAGACCTGAAAAGAGACCAAGCCAGTCAGCATCGCAGCATGAAGTAAGGAAGCGCTCATGAGGCCCTCATCCCTAGCTGACGAGCTTTTGACAACTGGTGGATTCTGGGGAAGGGACATTCAGGTTTTTTTAAGCCTGTGGTTCCTACTGGGTTGACCATGCTCCAGCAGATGGCCCCGCACCAATGAGTATATGGGACACATAAACTGAACTTACTGGATTATTTTTAATAAAAATAGGACATGAATTTGGAGTATGTTGGAGGGGGGATGGTGGATATGGGAGGAGTTGTGAGAATGGGAATAAATATGATCAAAATATATTGCATGCATATATGAAATTCTCTCAAAGAATAAAAATATTGTTTCAAAAAAGAACCGACGGTCAAAGCCAGGAAGACTGTGGCAGCTCCTTTTGCTCGGAAGGTACTAGACCAGCACATATCTAAGCTTCTGTGTGTGTCTGCCTTATACCCTCAGTACATTTTTCCCCAAGGCCGTGAAAAGTGTCCTTTTTAGCATTTTCAGCCACAGGAAGAGGAAACTAGAAAGTTCTGAACAATACTAAGGGAATTCTGATCTGGATCTTGACTCTGCTGCTAGTTAGATTCGTCTAAAAACGCTATATGACTGAGCAGCAGGGGGAACAGCTGATGCCCGTGGAAGGGCCAGCACCCAGCTCTGACAGTTCTGTGATAGGCTCTGGAAGGCTTCCTGGTCTGAAAGTGGCCTCATCCCCTCATGAAAGATGTGCAAAGGACTAAAACGTGTGAAAGGGGAAGTAGGAAAGAAGCTGCCAAAGAATTTAGATGGATTATTTCATGGACCACCCTGGAAGCCCTGCTCTGGATCCGGAGCAGCACTTACTCTGGGGTAAAACTGGGATTGCCTGAGCTAGCAGATCACCCTGTTGGCTGGTGCTTGTTTAATTTTATAGAAAGCTCTGGGCTCTGAGCCCAGCTATATAACAGTATGAATTATTCAGACACATTTGGGATGAGCTGTCATAATGCTGGCCAGGGTTACTCTAGGGTGTGCTTGCTACTGATGGAAGGGAGGGGGACGTGTGACTGTGACAAAGCACAGGGAATTTTCTCTGCTCCATGTGGGGCACCATCATGATCGAGAAGATGGCACGTTCCTTGGTATTGGGATCCAAACATATGGAGAGGACAGACAGACTGCCTCCTAGGCAAGGCTTAGATAGATGAATGGCCCAGGGATCACGATTGTCCTAGAGATGTGGATGAGGAGGATCACAGGGAAGAACCTCTCACATTGGTCACAATGCTGAGCACATTTGCTGGCATCTGAGGAAAGGATGTACCGTCAGCACTGGACACCAGCACAGAAATTCTGCTGATGGAACTCATCCTGCTACCGTCTGGGCTGGAAACAAGGCAAGCAGCTCAGAATCCTCTCTATTCTTCTTCCTCTGTCTACTCCATCCCAAGGACCACACACAATATGACTGAGATGGAGACTGCAATCAGGACACCTAGTTAAAATCCCAGCTCTGCATTGTGTGTGACTTTGGTTAAGCCACTGACCATCTTCCTGAACATCTACTTCCTCATTTTAAAGATGGGAATTGTGGTAGTTTGAATGAGAATGTCCCACACAGACTCTAAGTATTTGGACAATTTGTCCGTAGTTAGTGGTGCTATTTTGGGAGGTCTTAGAAGGTGTGGCCATGCTGGAGGAAGCATGTCACTGGGGGCAGGCTTAGAGAGTTCTTAAGCCTTGTCAGATCTCCAGTTGCTCTCTGCTTCCTGTGCCTGCTTGAAGATGCGAGAGCTTAGCTTCTACTCTTATTCCAGCCACCTCTGCTGTCATGGCTTCCCTCCATGATGGACTCTTGCCCCTTTGGAACTGTAAGCTAATACTCTTCCTTCTATAAGTTCCCTTGGTCATGGTGTTTCTATCACAGCAACAGAAAAGTGACTGATACGGTAATTACAGGAGCTGGGGTGATGTCTCAGGGAGTAAAGCACTTGCTGCATAGCCATGAGGACCAGAGTTCAGATCTCCAGCATTCACAAAAATGTCAACTAGGCTTGGCAGCCTGCCTGCAATCTTAGCACACAGGAGGCAGAGACAGGAATCCCACGGCAAGATTGCTAGTTAGACTAGTTGAGTCAGTGAGTTCTACATTCCAGTGAGGTTGAGAACAATCAAGGGAGACACCCAATGTCAACTTCAGGCCTTCACATGCAGACACTCATGCACCCACACACGTCCCAAACACATGCAGACATACACACACACACACACACACACACACACACACACACGCACACCACATATACACACACACAAAGGTCGGAATCACACCTCTAACACATCTAAAGATGGCTGGATCACTGGATGAGCTACCAACTGGAAAGCACATTGCTCAGGTCCCTAATGAAGAAGACCCTCATGCACCCCCACACGTCCCAAACACATGCAGACACACACACACACACACACACACACACACACACACACGCACACCACATATACACACACACAAAGGTCGGAATCACACCTCTAACACATCTAAAGATGGCTGGATCACTGGATGAGCTACCAACTGGAAAGCACATTGCTCAGGTCCCTAATGAAGAACAGCAAGGCACAGGGAGAGGGACAGAGGGAAGAAGAGGATTAGAAAGAGGAGGGAAAGCAGGAGTCAGGGGTGCTGTGGAAGCCGTTCCGAACAGCGACCGAAAGCACCACCTTTTATGCTAAACAGCCAAGTTCAAAATCTGTCCCTGCCCATGTCTTGGCTCTCCCACCTATGCGAAGGGTAGAGTCTGTCTTCCACAGAGGACTATGAGAGGTTTAAACGTGCTACTGTGTACAGAGCACTTAGAACATTATGAGGAACACTGTGCTATAAAATGTTTCATCTTTTGTTGTATTTTTAGTACTGATGCTGCTACATCTATCATCATCAAAGTGACCATTTCCAGCAGCAGAAATCTCAGGCCTCATTCCTCCCTGACTCTTGCCAATGCCTCACAATCCTGCCTTTCACTAACCTCAGACCCAGGCAGGTCGATCATTCCCTATGTACTACACCATGAGCTAAGAAAGAAGAAATACTGACTGAGACAGAGACAGGGTTGTTTAAGCAGGGGGTTTACCTGGTCAGGGAAGGACTCAAGGCTTTGATGAAATAAGCTAGGAAAATGCAGATACTGTGAACTCCAGAGCTGGATAAATCTGGTTTCAAGTGTGAGCTGTGCAAGGTATTCAAGCGCTGTGAGTCTTGGAGTTTTATGTGTAACAGACTCACTGACACTCATCTCAGCAGAGTGAGTGTGGACCAGACACCATAGCTATGCAAAAGCACCAGTCAGGGCCTGCCATACAGGGAGCAGCCAGAATACAGTAATTTTTATTGTTTTGTCATTAATGTTCAACAAGATTCATGGCTTCCCTTGGGCAGGCTCTGGGGGAGGGGGTATGGCTCAAAGCACTGTGATAAATCTTCAAAGTCCTGGCCACGGTTCTTAAGAGTCCAGGGCTCACATTGGGAGCCTGGGGTTTTGTGAGGAGCTGAGGGGACAGTAGAATAAGTAAGGAGTTTGCAGAAAGGAACAGGAGAAGTGATGGCTAAATATGGATGCTAGCTCATCTTAGCTCTTTGTTTAAAGTGGAGTAAGATAAAACTAAAACCGCTTGTTACTGTCCCCAGAAAACCACCAGGAAAGTCAGAGCTATGGTATATTAGGAAAGTCTCTTAAATATCACACTGTTCACAAAGAGCTCATAGTCCCAGGACCTGACCAACCTCATGCCATGAGCTCATTCTCTGGAAGGAGAACTGCCTTGGTCCCCACCCAGACCTTTCTCTCTTTCTTCCCATCACTGGAAATGTTTATAATTAATATTAAATCAGAAGTGAGTCCCAGACCTCAGAGGAGACAAACTCTACGGGAGGCCAAACATCATTTCTGGTTTAGATTCGAGTACATATTCTCTTTCTGTTTTTCTGAAAGGGAACACAGAGAGGCAGGACAGTGGTGGGCACCATCTACACCAGCATCACATGAAGATGAGGCTCTCAGAACCTAGACCTGCAACAGAACTTCAGTACCTGTGCCTAGAAGGGTCCCACCAGGAAAGTCCCAGTCTTTCCAAGCTTCAGATCCACAAATGGAGCCCAAACCCAGCCAGTCTTTGTCATCTTCTTTAAGAGAAAAATATTCTTTGTTCTAAAAGAAATTTAGCTAATGTCTGTGGGAAGTTACTCACTAAACTGGTGTTGAGAGGTTGAAGAGCTTCTCTGTTCTTCCATAGTACCATGTGACCTCTGCAGGGTCAAGACTTTCCACCAAGTTTAATAATGGAGTTACAGAATCGTTGGAGGGAACAACCCCAAACCTCCCTTTTCCAATATATTTTCAAGTAAAATCTCAACGAATGCCTCCTAAAGAGAGTAGTGGTCCACAAGAGATTAGGAATCACCTAGAAAGCTAACCTAGCCACCACTGCAGACCAATTACAGATTCAGAAACTGTTTAAGGCCCCATCGCAATTCTAATGGGCTTCCAACTTTGAGAACTTCTGGTCATTCTTTGGCCCAAGGATTGAACCAGGGGTCACCACTGTGGGCTTTGGGTCATGAATTTTGAACTAAACATCTCAGTTCTAATTCTGACTCTACTGCTTATCAGCTATGTGATCTTGGATAAGTCCTCAGACCATGACTCCCACTATAAACAGAAACAGCAAGATGCCTATTTCATAGGCTACTTTTGTGTTTTCAAAGAAATAAGTTATGAAAGACATTGGTCAGAATGTAAAACAACACTCGAATGCTGGCTCTTGCTGTTATATACAGTTCACTTGTCCTCTGACCAGAGCTGACAAGCATTTACCTTGTTCTTCTAAATTCCTTTAAGGGCTTACTTAGATCAGTGACTCAGAGGTCTGAAATCCCACAGAACCATCTGTAGAGTGGAAATGTAGATTCTCAAGCACCATCCAGAATTGCAGTAAATTGTGGGTGGGGTCAAAGAATCTTTGTTTTCTTCAAACTCTCTGAAGGACTGTGGGAACCACCCATGTGGAGCCTGTTCCTATGATGGGCAGCCTGAATCTGTGGAAAGGATCACTGGTTCCAATTAGATCACTAGTTCTACCTACAATGCTGATATCATGTCTCAAGTGGGAAAGGAAGAGGGAGACACTACTTTGTTTCAGAGCTAGCTACTGCCTATGTCTGCTCTGACTTTTGGAGGCCACAGTCAAGGTGAGTTAACCAGGGAGGGATAAATTACACCCACCACTGTCCATTTTTGGTTCCTCTTCCTCTCATTACTAGAGTGGTTATCGCCATTTTGGGGATCCAGTCAGCAAGCTTAGTGAACACATGTCTCTGATTTAAGATGAAGCTCATGTCTACAGATCTAGTCCCTCTTCATGGCTGCTAATTATTATGGGGTAGAAGTTATAGTGAGAGCGATTAAGGGATGTAGGTGGAGTTTAACCTACAGATAGAAGTATATCTTAAAACTTTTGGGGGTTTAAGATGTTACCTTTCTCACATTCATGATGCAAGGGGATCACATAAAATCAGTCTTCTAAAATGCTACATGCCAGATAAATCTTGTATTCACCACATCTTCCTGTGGACACCAGGGACACACATTGTCAGGAAGGGATGTGGGAATGGGAGAGAAGGGTTGGCATTTACAACAGACGCCACATTAGAAGAGTCCACAGAACTCTGTCATCCATCTGTGATGGTTGATCTTGGTGTCAGCTAGACTGAGTTTGGAATCAACTAAGAGGCAAGCATCTGGACACACCTGTGCAGCCCTTTCTTGATCAGGTTACTTGAAGTGACTCCCTAGTGTGGATGGCTCCTTCCAGTGGTGATCTGTATGTAAAGAAGTCAGAGGGGAAAGCTTTTGCTTTTTGCCTGCTTGCCTTTGCATCTTGCTGGCACGTCCATCTACCTTGTTTGCAAGCTCACCTACTCTGTTCATGAGTTCACCCAGTTTGTTGTTTCCATTACCTCTGCTGCTTTCAACCTTCACTGCCATCAGATCCCAGCTTCTTTGGGCCCCCAACTTAGAGAAAAGGTCGATGACTCTCCAGGAATCCCCCAGGTCCTCAACATCAGGCCTGGATTGCTGAAATATCCAGTCTTGTGGGCTAAGCAGCTACCAGTCCCTCCATTGTGACAGCCATTGTTGAACTCCCCAGACCACATTCTATAAACCAATCTAATAAATCTCCCTTTAATATATATTCATTCTATCAACTTTATTCATCCAGAAAACCCTGACTAATATACAATTTTTTGTGTGTTAAGTAGGAAAGGAAATCACAGGGGCTTTCTACCTATTAAATATGGAATCAACAAGAGCCAGCAAAGACAGGTGACCCTTCCAAGGTCACACGGCAAGCTAATGTCGCAGCCAAGACAAACTCAAGCCAATTGTTCCCACACACCGAACAAGCAAGCTTCCTCTTAATTTCCCCAGACCTGCCATGCTGGTTCCTAACCATGAATTTTACCTTGGCTATGATGCGGCACAAGGGTGCTCCCTCCTGCGTTAGGCTGAACAGATTCCCTGTGGTAGCCTCAGTGGTGTAGATGTTGTCTGAGGCATCAATTTTTCTCACCAGTGCCTAAGGAGAGAGAAAAGTCAGCTGGTTAACTCACTTCCACCTGCCCTGCTCATCCTCCTTAATGGAATACCAGTGGCCCGGGCCTCTAACAGACCCCGTGGAATCTAAAATCCTTCCCCACCCACTGACCCTCTGTGTGGGTAACAAGACTAACTTTGAGTGAGGTCTGAATTTCAATTTAGAGACTGGGGATCATTTCGAACCAATCAAAGCAAATTAGTTCTGCTCTAGTTCATCAGAAAACCAACTCTCAACACTGAAGGCCTCAGCAAATGCCACCTGGTTGTGCTACTGGCTCACAATGAGAACAGACAACATCAGTGAAATGCACAAGCATCAACTTGTCAGACCAACGAGTGGTTACAGCTATGGCCAAAGAATTTGTTCATTGTGGATGGTTGTTAGCCAAAGGGAGACTCCAGCTGGGTGACAGGTTCAGAAACTGAGACAGGCACTGTCCAGTGGTATCACACTGCTTGGGGGACATTTGCATTGGGTATAACCAGGCCACATAGGTGTACCAATAGGTGGGTTGACTCCGTGAGTAACGATGCTCTCACTGACCAAAGCTGAAGCACTCTTTAGAGGCTGAATATGGGGCCATAGGACCAAGGACAATGCAGGGAAGAAAGCAAGAGTCATTGAAAAATAAGATGTGAAGGTGGTTCCTAGAAGAGTTGAGCTAATTTCTGGGAAAAAGCCTTTTATGAATTGAAACCACTTCATAATAAGCCATTAGTTTTGGCGCATGTGATTCATTGATTATCAATTACTCCTACCTGCTAATGAATCCCAGTTGCTCAAGTTTCTCCTGGGAAGTGTTGATGTGGAGGTCTGCCTTTCAGGCCTCTTACAGTAAGGAAACAAAACCTGAAGATCTGGGTGTTCAGAGCAAACTTGGGTGTCATTTCATGACTATTTGGGTATATCAGTATGGTTATGAATGCAGAGGCCAGAGATCAACAGCGAATATCTTCCTCTGTCTCTCACCTCTTTATGTTTTGATTTGAGACAAGGTCTCTCATGGGATCCGGAGCTCGCCCACTCAGACAGCAAGCCCAAGGGGCCTTTCTGTGACCCTTTCTCAAGCATTAGGCACGTATGGCCTCATCCAGCTTCTTTTGCCTAGATAGGTCTGAGGGAAAGAACTCAAGTCTTCATGTTTATGCATCAAGCCTTTACCGCTGAGCTGTTCCACAGCCTTGTTTTGTTTTGAGACAGGGTCTCCTACAACCTGGGCTAGCCTTGAATTTCTAAACCTTCTGCCTGTGCCGAGATTATAAGTACGTGCCACCATCCCCATGCCATATTTACTTTTAAATATTAAAATGGATAGTTTTTACAAACAGACAAATGCCAACCTTTGCACTGCTGAAGTGAAATCTTGCTTATTAATTAACATTGTTGCTGATCTCAGTATGGACAAAGAAACACCTACAGCAAAATGTCTGGACAGACTTCACATGCTCTGTAAATACAGAACATTTTGCTCTGTGTGTGTTTTATGTGGACACGGAGTGAAGCTTCACAGGTGCGGAGAGTGAGTCTTTGTTTAGCAAGTTTGGAGTGAAAATAAGCTTTTTTGTTGATCTCAGTAAAGGCAAAGAAACATCTAAATCAAAATGGCTGGACAGATTTCATGTGTTTTGTAAATACTAAAAATATTCTGTGTGTGTTTTATGTGATCATGGAGTGAAGCTTCACAGGTACAGAGAGCGATTCTTTGTTTAGCAAGCTTGGAGTGCAGATAAAATAGTAAGAAATAATATAAATGTTAAAGCATCACAGCAGAACTGTAGGAATCAAAATTTATAATAAACTGTCTGTAAAAAAAATGGATATTTTTAAGTAAACTTCATGTTATACAAAAGATATTTGAAGGAAGAAAGAGATTCAAGTTCCAGTCTCAGCTTGCCTTTAAGCTAAAGCTCTTCATGGTGATGAAGTTAAAAGAAGATTCATGGCATCGGTTAAAAGAAGATTCTGAAGCCAAAATGCCTGGGTTTGAATCCTGTCTCTGCCATTTCTGGCTATGTGTCCCAAAGCTGATTATTTATTTAGATTTCATTTGTCTCCGTTTCCTCATCTGTCAAGTGTTGGAATAAACACCATTCATCTTTTACAGTGATTATGCCCTTAAGTCTGTATATATATACATATATATGAAACGTCTGAAGATATCTGCCACACTAAAGTAAAATAAATTGTTAGAAGTTGATCTTGGGGCCAATGAGGTAAATCCTGTGAGACTTGGATTTGTCACGTGTAAAATGATTAAAATCAAGGGGTTTGGGACTCTTTTTTTCTTTTTTCTTCAAATTCATAGACTTCTTCTCATATCTGTCACAGCAATCCTTTGTATAGAGCAGTCTTACATTGTGTATTTAATCAAACTACCTTAAATATAAAAACTTTCGTTTTCAAAGATTTAGTGGATGCTATATATAAGAGATTCAACAAAGGGTAACGTTAATAACCGAGGTTTGTCATTACAAATCTCTGTAGTGAACATAACTAAGCAGCTATGCATGCAATACATATGCTCCAATGTAAAATGTAGATCTCATATATTAGGGTCTTGTACCTAAATGATAATTACCTATGTTCCTGATGAGTGTTTGTACTTTAAGTAAATTAGCATTACATCAAACAATTCAAGCTCAGTGTCTTATGCAATGAGCTGCTAATATTAGACCATTTATGTCTGAGAATAATTTCATGTTAATGTCTATATACATATATCTAGTAATTACACCCCAGACAGGTCTCAGTGACAAAAGTTGCAAGGATACTTTCCTATAGCACAAATTTGAAAAAAAAGGAGATAAAAGACTCCAAGGAGATTTGCAAAGCCCTAAATATCACAGCGTCAGAGCTGGAAGGGCCTCAAAGCTTTTTGTTCAACTGTCATTTTACATTTGAGGAAACTGAGGTCCAGAACACTGACCCAGGTCATGCACACGGTTCACTGGAGCTAGATGGACCTTATCCCCTGTGCGATGGTTAATCACTGTCAACCTGGTTGGATTTATCATCACCATGGAAACATTCCTCTGAGTGTATCTATGAGGATATTTCCCTAAAGGTTTAATTGAGGAGAGAAGACCCATTCTGAAGGTGGGTGACACCATCCTATTGGCTGGGGTCCCACACTGAGTAGAAAGGAAAGTGAGCTGAGCATCAGCCTTCGCCTAGCTCTGCTTCTTGACTTGCAGATACAATGTGACGAATCCTGCCACAATGCTGTTCCCATCATGATGGACTACAGCCCCTTTTAAATGATAAACTCTCTCTTCCTTAAGTTACTTTTGTCAGGGATTTTGACTCAATAATAATAAAAGTAACTAATACGCTCTGAGTTGGCCTCCCTGTTTTGAAGGTCAGTGGCTCTGTCTCTAATGTGTACATACCTCACCTAGTCTAGCAGAGCTAGAAGCTAAACAAGGATGCTACCTAGCCCCATTGGCAGTGTTTACGTAGCCTGGCTCCCATCAGCATCTAACACTTAGTGAGGTCATCTGGGCTCCCACAGCGGGAAGCAGAACTGACCCAGGGCCTCCAGATGCTGCACCCTGGATCTTTTATGTTCTCGCTAATGCAGAACATGTCTGTGGAACAGGGGTCTCCCCACAACCTGTGCCTTTGTCTAACTGCTCTAAATAAGGAATCAGAAAAGGAGGGCACATTTTAATGATTTCTCCATCAGAAAGAACCAGAGTGGCTAGAGTGAGTTTCTCAAAAGAAGCAAGGGAAATATTGTGAGCATTTTCCCAAGCTTTTGATGGAAAGTCCACAATCACATACGGTGGAGAAGCCCATACACGCCAAATAGTTAAAACAGATACAGGCAGAGTTGACAGGGTGTCATGGATTAAAGATGGCTACAGATTCTTGTCTACTCCTCCCAAATAGAACTGAGCTCTACTCCCCCTTCTTTGAATCTTGGTGCCTTACTTGACCAGTAGAAGCCAGTTCCTGACCAAAGACATGCCCCAGGACTTCCAAGACAAAGTCTAGGAAGCTTTGACCTTCCACCCCAGCTTTGTGGGATACTCTTTTGGAACCTTTAGGTGCCATTAAGAGTTTGGTAACCCTGAGACTATCAGGCTTGAAAAGCCCCCTGCAGGATCCCTGTCTGCATTCTCAGCTAAGAGCAGCCTTTGACATCCCCTCAGGGCACCATGCATGTGACAGAAGCTGCCTGGAGGTCACTACCCCATCTGCCAGCTGCACGGTATCTCCTTGAGCCCACGTGGAACAGGGGACTCGTTCAGCCAAGCCCCATCCAAACCACTGACCCTTACAATCATGAAATGGATTAAAAATTATCATTGGGGTTATGCCTTTGTGCTTTAAAGGAGTTAGAAAACACGGGGAAATATTGCAAAGATCAGTGTGGACTCTTCAAACGTTTACTGGACGAAAAGTGCAAGTTTGGGGAAATGGGAAGGTGGAATTGCCTCTCTCCTAGGGAACATGCTGAAGCAATGCATGAGACAGGAGGAACAGCACAGAAAGTCAAGATGCACTGAGCAGAAGCTATACAAAAATAATCACTGAATCCAAGGTTGGATTATCTGTGGGACAGTACTTCCCCCTCGGGAAGGTAAATGCAGATAAGAGCTGATAGGATTGGAGGCTTGAAAACCCATAACTTAATTGATTTTATGTCTTTCAAGAAGACAAATAAAACCTCTAAATCTAGAAGAGGTTGTTAGAAAATAAAAGAATGTGCCAGAAACCTATAGAAAATTGGAAAAGCTGCCCAGATACAGATCCTGGTCACCTGAGGAGTTAGAAGAAAGAGACCCATATGAAGAGGAGAATAATTACTCTAAATGTAGCAGAGTCTCTTTGAAAGTGTTGGGGTGCTAACCAGAAGAAAGAAGACTACTGGGGGTCTAGTTTATTACAGAAAACGTGCAGCAGAAAGAAATACTACTTAAGTCTGAACTGTTTCAAAGGTGTGAAAAGCTCCCTCGATGGCAGGGGATCCCACG